GAGCTAGAGCTGAGCGCCTTCAGGCCAAGGCTTACTGGCAGAGTGGGGTGCCTTTAAGCACTTATTGGCAGAACTATAACAGCTTTGTAACACTTGCTGAGCAGGGCAGAGGCCAAGGGGCCAGAGACAGGTGTACCTGTGGCATGGGGGAGAGGCTGCCCTGATCGAAGAAACTGATCCTGAGTTTTCCTGAACCTGAGTTGTAACCTGTTACTTCCCTAATAAACCCCATAATTGTATTGTCTGTGAGTTCTGTGTGGCCAATGCAATGAACTATCAAACTCAGCAGAGAAGTAGGCAGTGCCATGAGAGCGATGGTTGGTGTCAGAATTGGTAAAGATGGCGGACAGAGGAGGCATGTCTAACTTTCGCCTCATAGGAATCAGCCTTGCGCTGTTGATCTTGATTCTCCTTCCCCCTTGTGAAGTTAGAGGAGGTAAGACGCCACCCCCAAGCCATTTTTACACTACCTTTCTCCAAAGGCTGTATATCTTGTGTTGATGTCCCCCTGGCTTCCAACTCTTGGGTGGGGTGAGGGTGGAAAGTCTTGGAATTGTCCCCAAGGGGTTCAAAGATCCAAATATGGACACCAAGCACCAATAGAAGAATGAATAAATAAGATGTCTCTCTCTTTGACTCACATACATATATATACATCAACTTTCTGGATTTTATTTACCTTTTTTTCCTGCTTACAAAATGGACATAGGCTGTAGAATTTTCAAACATTACAAAAATACATATTGGAGTAGAAAGTGCAAGTTTCTAGTAGTTCTATCCTTAAAAGAAGACAATGTTATCTATTTGTTTTCCTACTATTTTTCCAATTTATGGGCAAACTACTGGGTTAAAATGAATTTAAAATCAAATGAATTTAAAAGTTATTGCATTCGTGGTAGATGTCTGTGATTGTTTCTCAATAAACAGACACTAAAAATGAATGTGTCAGTTTGTTGTACTGTGGTGGCTTGCATGTTTCTGTGATGCTGGAAGCTATGCTACCAGTTTTTCAAATACCAGCAGGGTCACCCATGGTGGGCAGGTTTCAACTGAGCTTCCAGACTAAGAAAGACTAGGAAGAAGGACCTGACAGTCTACTTCTGAAAAAATTGGCCAGCGAAAACCTTATGAATAGCAGTTGAACATTGTCGGATATAGTGCCAGAAGATGAGTCCCTCAGGTTGGAAGGCACTCAAAAGACGCCTGGGGAAGAGCTGCCTCCTCAAAGTAGAGCTGACCTTAATGACATGGATGGAGTCAAGCTTTCGAGACCTTCATTTGATGATGTGGCATGACTCAAAATGAGAAGAAACAGCTGCAAACATCCATTAATAATCAGAAGGGGGAATGTATGAAGTATGAATCTAGGAAAACTGGAAATAATCAGAAATGAAATGGAACACATAAACATCAATAGCTAGGCATTAGTGAGCTGAAATGGACTGGTATTGGCCATTTTGAATCAGACAATCCTACAGTGTACTATGACAGGAATGAGAAATTGAAGAGGAATGGAATCACATTCATTGTCAAAAAGAACATTTCAAGATCTATCCTGAAATACAGCGCTGTCAGTGACAGAATAATATCCACATGCCTACAAAGAAGACCAGTTAATACAACTATTTTTCAAATTTACACATTAACCACTAACACCAAAGATGAGGAAATTAAATATTTTTCCCAACTTCTGCAGTCTGAAACTGATCAAACATGCAGTCAAGATGCATTGATAATTACTGGTAATTGGAATGCAAAAGTTGGAAACAAAGAAGAAGGATCATCAGCTGGAAAATATGGCATTGGTGATAGAAATGATGCCAGAGGTTGCATGACAGAATTTTGCAAGACCAACGACTTCTTCATTGCAAAAGCTTTTCTCAACAACATAACATATACACGTGGACTTCACCAGATGGAAAACACAGGAATCAAATCAACCGCATCTATGGAAAGAAACGATGGAAAAGCGCAATATCATCAACCAGACCAGCTACGGCCAGGGCCAGCTGCGGAACAGACCATCAATTGCTCATATGCAAGTTCAAGTTGAAGCTGAAGAAAATTAAAACAAGTCTATGAGAGCAAAAATGCGAGCTTGAGCATATCCCACCTGAATTTGGGGACCATTTGATACATTGAACACTAATGACCAGAGACCAGATGAGTTGTGGGACAACATCAAGGACATCATACATGAAGAAAGCAAAAGATCATGAAGAGACAAGAAAGAAAGAAAAGACCAAAATGGATGTCAGAAGAGACTCTGAAACTTGCACTTGAACACAGAGTAGCTAGAGCAAAGGGAAGAAATGATGAAGTAAAAGAGCTGAACAGAAGATTTCAAAGGGCAGCTTGAGAAGACAAAGTAAAGAATTATAATGAAATGTGCAAAGATTTGGAGTTAGAAAACCAAAAGGGAAGAACACTCTCAGCATTTCTCAAGCTGAAAGAACTGAAGAAAATATTCCAGCCTTGAGTTGCAATTTTGAAGGATTCTATGGGCAAAATGTTGAACAGCACAAAAAAACAAACCAAACTTGTCGTCATCAGGTCAATTCCGACTCATAGCGGCCCTATAGGACAGAGTAGAGCTGCCCCCACAGGGTTTCCAAGGAGTGGCTGGTAGATTTGAACTGCCGACCTTTCCATTAGCAGCCAAAGCACTTAACCACTGGTTTATTAAACGATGCAAGAAGTGTCAAATGAAGATGGAAGGAATACACACAGTCAGTGTACCAAAAAGAACTGGTTGACATTCAGCTATTGCAGGAGGTAGCATATGATCAAGAATTGATGTTATTCAAGGAAGAACTCCAAGCTGCAGGCACTGGTGAAAAACAAGGCTCCAGGAATTGACGGAATACCAGTTGAGATGTTTCAACAAACTGGTGCAGCGCTGGAAGTGCTCACTCGTTTATGCCAAGAAATTTGGAAGACAGCTGCCAGGCCAGACAACTGGAAGAAATCCATATTTGTGCCTATTCCAAAGAAAGGTGATCCAATAGAATGTGGAAATTATTGAACAGTATCATTGATAAGACATGCAAGTAAAATTTTGCTAAAAATAATTCAAAAGCAGTTGCAGTAGTACATTGACAGGGAACTGCCAGAAATTCAAGCTGGATTCAGAAGAGGACGTGAAATGAGGGATATCACTGCTGATGTCAGGTGGATCCTGGCTAAAAGCAGAGAATACTAGAAAGATGTTTACCTGTGTTTTATTGACTATGCAAAGGCATTTGACTGTGTGGATCATAACAAACTATGGATAATACTGTGAAGAACAGGAATTCCAGAACACTTAGTTGTGCTCATGAGGAACCTGTACATAGACCAAGAGGCAGTGGTTCGAATAGAGTAAGGAATACTGTGTGGTTTAAAATCACGAAAGTGTGCATTGGGGCTGTATCCTTTCACCACACTTTCTCAATCTGTATGCTGCACAAATTATCCGAGAAGCTGGACTATATAAAGAATGTGGTGTCAGGACTGGAGGAAATCTCATTAACAACCTGTGATATGAAGGTGGCACAACCTTGCCAGCTGAAAGCAAAGAGGACTTGAAGCACTTACGGATGAAGATCAAAGACTACAGCCTGTTCAGTATGGATTACACCTCAACATGAAGAAAACAAACAAACAAAAAACCTCACAACTGGACCAATAAGCAACATCATGATAAAGAGACAAAATATTGATGTCGTCAAGGATTTCATTTTGCTTGGATCCAAGATGAACGACCCTGGGAGGAGCAGTCGGGAAATCAAACGATGTATTACACTGGGCAAATCTGTTGCAAAGAGGACTGTTGCAAAGATGTTACTTTGAGGACTAAGGTGTGGCCTGACCCAAGCCATGATATTTTCAATTGCCTCATATGCATGTGAAAGCTGGACAATGAGTGAGGAAGACTGAAGAAGAATGGATTCATTTGAATTATGGTGTTGTGAAGAATATTGAATATACCATGGACTGCCGGAAGAATGAACAAGCCTGTCTTAGAGTATCAGCCACAGGGCTCCCTGAGAAGATGGCGAGACTTCCTCTCATGTACTTCAGACATGTTATCAGGAGGGACCAGTCCCCGGAGAAGGACATTATGCTTAGTAAGGTAGAGGGTCATGGGAAAAAGAGGAAGACCCTCAATGAGATGGATTGACACAGTGGCTGCAACAATGGACTCAAACAAAGCAAGGATTGTGAGGATGGCCCAGGGCCGGGAAGTGTTTCTTTCTGTTGTACATGGGGTAGCTATGAGTCGGAACCAACTACTCGGCACCTAACAACGTAAGAATGCAAATACTAACATTAAGAGATCCACGTATTATTGAAGTTAAAAATGGGTCCCTATGCTTAGAAAGGAGCCCAGGTGCTGCACTGCTTAAGAGCTCGGCTGTTAACCAAAAGTTCATATCCACCAGCCGCTCCTTGTAAACCCTATGGGGCAGTTCTACTCTGTTCTACAGGGTCGCTATGAGTCGGAATCCACTCGACTGGAACGGGTTTTTTTTTTTTTTTTTTTTTTTTTTATACTCGTATTGGGAATTTCTGTGCTTCCTTAAAAACTGGAGCAGCTACTAGGAGTCAAAGTTTTGTACTTGCCTGCCAGGGGGCGGTTCTGGGGGGGCGTGTGCTCCGAAGAGGCGGTAGTGAGTGACACCCACTGCCTCCCACACACCCCCTGTGTTTTGTTAAACGAGAAGATTCCTTTTCTCTAGCCGCAGAGGAAGGATGGAGGGGTGGAGCCAGGGTGCGTGCGTGAGGTAGAGGTTCACTAAGGTCTCTTATTGGTGCATCCTGAATCTTGATTGGTTAGCTCTCCTGTCCGCAAGGGGATTGGTGGACTCTGTCTCGCCGGGCCGCTCCTTTTGACTCTGGGCTCCTCCCCGCGCGAGTGGTCGCCACCCCGAGCGTCAAGAGCGCGTGCGCACGTCCGGGCGGTGCACTCGCAGTCAGCCAGCAAGTCAAGAGTTAGTGGAGGTCACCACCGGGAGGCGGGGTGGGGGCAGCATGGCAGCCTCCTTACGGCTCCGAGGAGCTGCCTCCAGCCTCCACTATTGGAGTCGCCGGCGGTGGCCGGCTATGGCCGGCCTTCCAGCGGGTAAGAACCTCGCACTTTCTCCCCCCATCTCTACTCCAGCCGCCTGCCTCTCGCGCCCTGCCAGTCGAAGAGGTGTTTTCACCAGAGGCGCCGTGGGTGAATCGGGGCTTGAAAACAAAATTCTTGGCTAATCCCAAGGCCTGACTACTTCTGCGCCTGCCGCTCGCACCGCTAGTGACCCCTGTGACCCCGGATGAGCGGGCTTCATCGTCTTTTACGGGATTTAGGAAGGGGCGGGGAAGAGCCCAGATGAAGGGAGGATTTAGATCCGGGTCCTGCTTCTTTGGCGTTAGGGATCCGAGGACATTTGGGAGGAGACCCTGCATCCATCCTGGCGGCCTTTCAGCGCTTCCCGGTTCAGCACTTCGTTGCCTTTCAACGCCCCCAGGGTGCATCTTGGGTGGGCACGTCCTCGGGCTGCAGGGTCTGATTTATGTTTAACCACCTTAATCGAGTTGGATGGCCTTACACAAGTGGTGTCTATACTGGTGATAAGTCACTGCTGCAAAGTTTGATCCACCATTGACCAGCAATGCGGGCTGCCCCCATCTTTTCTGTAACTGTGCTACCTGAAGATGGCACTTCTGTCAAATTATTAACCTAAACAGTTTATTCAGCCTCAAAAATTGTGGCCTGAATCTTTCTCGCCTCCTCCGCGTACGTAGCATTCTAAAGTATGGAAAGCGAACCATGGATTTAGGAAGAGGCAGTGTTTAGAGCTAGAGATCTTCGGAATCGACTTGACCGCAGTGGGTTTGGTTTTTGGGTTTAGTAGGGTATCGGAGCCCTGGTGGCACAGTGGTTAAGAGTTACGGCTGCTAACCAAAAGGTAGGCAGTTTAAATCCACCAGCGGCTCTTTGGAAACCGTGTGGAGCAGTTCTCCTCTGCCCTATAGGGTCGCTATGAGTCGGAATCGACTCGACGGCCGTGGGTTTGGTTTTTTGGTTTTAGTAGGGTGTCAGAAGCCTTGGTGGCACAGTAGTTAAACCGCCTGGCTGCTAACTGAAAGAATGAGTGGTTCAAACTCATCAGTCACTTAGTGGAAGAAAGATGTGGCAGTCTGCTCCCTAAAGAGTAAAGCCTTGGAAACCCTATGCGGCAGTTCTCTGTCTTGTAAGGTCACCATGAGTCGGGAATTGACAGCACCAGGTTTGGTTTTTTGGTTTTTGGTAGTAGGGTCTCAGTGACCCAAGCGTCGAAATGGGTGGATAGCACACAATTAGGGTCTAGAGAGGAGTTCTTTATTCTCGCTGATTTCACGGCCTTAACTACCACACCAGGATTCCTCATCAGTTTGATTTTGATTGATTTGTGGGGACACTGCCAGTTGTCTTCCTGTGAAAGTTTGAGAGTTGTAATGATGCACAGTTGAGAGAGATCATACTCAGGATTAAAAAGCTTTGGTATTAATTTTTTCTGATCTTGGCTTAAAAAAATAAAGAATTGGGAATTGAATGAACAGCTCCCTTTTCCCACTCAATAAAACCTATGCAGAAGAGTGAATTTCCTCTTTGGTTTGAGAAAGGCAGGCTCCATGTGATGTACGAGAACAGATGTCTGATACAGAATCTTAGTACGGTAATAAGACACAAACTCACAGAATCTGCCAAACTTGAGTGTAGCTACTCTTTGAGTTACATAAAAGATGCCTCCCATTTTGGAGATATGTTAAAAGAAAGAAAGTGCATCAGTCCCTTTTGCACAGTAGTTAAATGTAGCACCAGTTTTCACATGAGTGCATAGTTCTTTCAGTTTTGATTAGCTGAGGAAGACATATTTGCTGTTCAGTGGTTTTACAAGGTGTTCTGATGATATTTTCATAAACCCTTGATGTACCTTTATGAGTTATAGGCATTCTTATAACTCATGGTGCAAGTCTGAGACCTACGGCTATAATAATTGACTGTAAAGTGGGAGAGCCTACCTCACAGTGCTAGTTAGACTACTTTGGCTTATAATCTTGTACTTTGGGTTCTTTGGCCCAAAGATGTTATAAGAAGATAGATTTATGATAACATTTATATATTTCTTTTATGGTGATTGTTTAAAACACTTCAGTTGTTTTTACTTTGTGAAATTGTTTTAAAAGTTTTTGTTAATTTTACTTCAAAAATGTTGATTTTTTTGACATTGAAGTCTTAAAGAGTTAAAAAACAAGTTTATGCAAATTTGGAGTCTAGGAACATTAAGATAAAACCAGGTACCATTCTTGTTCAAATAGTAGCATTATTTTAGTGTTGTCAACTCAGTATATTTAAAATGTTTATATCATGTGAATGCTAATAATATAAGCATCTATATAATTTATTAGTAAAAAAAAAAAATGAGACCAAAAAGTTGTGGGTTAGTAAAACCGAACCAAACCCGTTGCCATTGAGCTGATTCTGACTCATAGCGACCGTATAGGTTAGTAGCACATCTTAACTTTAACATATTTAAAGAATCTAAAAGGAAATAGAAAAATGAGCAATATTAAATATACATGCATTACTATTTCATCATTTAATAAAAATAATTTTTATATTTTATCTTGAAAGGTAATTAAATTTAGTTTCAGGCTTCTTTGTACAGAGAAAAATTCCACGAAAGGAGGCCCTTCAGGGTCATTGTGACTCACCAACATGTACATGGAAAAATAATTTGTATGAGATTATTTTGTATCATTTTATCTTAAAAGTTACCATCTGACCAAAGGTAGAATGGGAAAATTAACCAGCATCATATACAGAAATGGCAATAAAATTTTTAAAATAATTGACTCTTTTTGTGTGTGTGAAATCTATTTCCAAAGCAGCATAACTTGTAGCATAAGTAAAATGTGTAATGGCATTTTTTTTCTCTTTACATTAGCTTCTAGGGTTGCACATGAAGCTCTGAAAAAAACTGCACTAGGACTGAAATTTCCCTTGTGAAATTACATAGGGAAGATATTTATTTCTAAAATAACTTGGACCCAAACCATGAAGGCTTAGAGTAAGTTACCACCCTTAGTTTGGTAATTGGTGGCCCTAAAGCAAGTGGAATGCTTATGACATGTGATAAAGTAGGACACAATGTTGTATATACAATATAATCTCATGATATAATGAAAAAAGTACATACAGAAAGGCTGGAGGGGTGATGCCAAAATGTTAGCAGTGATTACTTTTATGTGTTCTATCGAGATTAACTTTTTTCTTTAAGACTTTGTACTTTTTTTTTGTATTTCCCAGTTTTCTAAAGTGAACATGCATTACTTTGATTAGGAAAAAAAAATGAAAAAAAACCCAGATCTTTGGAAATGTAAAATAATTAACCCATTACCGATTTTTGCATTTTGATACTTAGGGTAGGCTGATCTTTAGTAGCACTTCAGGTTACCAGCTTATGGATAACTTTGCCCATGTCTCATTGGAGCAAGAGGTCGTAATCTATAAATTTACATCTATGTATTTAGAGATGCTCTTCTAGCCTGTCTTCTTTTGGACAGCGTAGGGATGTAGACTTTAGAGACAAAGGTCTACCATACTTCTTTAAATCAGAGTAATACAAGTAGCTTTGCCAAGTTTTCAAGCTAGTTTCTTTACCAGTCAACCAATATCACCTTTGCATTATGTTGACTGATTTTCTTCCAGCTTGATTTTATCTGTGGTTTAGCTCTGCTATTTCTGTACTCCATTGTCAGGACTTTACTTGAAAGAAGATGTGTTATTTACTTTTGATTGTTTTAGGGTAATATTGATTCCATTATATCCTTTTGAATGTCTGCCCCTGTGAGAGCAAATTCTTTTATATTCTCCAAGCACTCTTTCTGTTGCTTCATCTTAACTAAAAGCTGTCTTTCCCCAGATACAGGACATCCCCTAAAGTACTCTCTATTGCTTTTTCTGACTTCTCAGCTCTTCTAACCCTCTAGGCAAAAAGGGGTAGCTAATGTTAAGACTTGTACCTCAATGCTGCTTCTTGACCATTGTTAGTAAAAGTATCTAATATTTATTGACTAGTGTGTGCCAGGCACTATTTAATGCTTTGCATACATTATCTTAAGTAATCTTTATAATAACCTTCTGAAGTGGGTACTCTTGCTGGTAAAACTCAATGTCTAGAGAAGTTAAGTAATTTGTTAGTTCAAGGGCATACATCTGAGAAGTGACCTAGCCTGGTTAGGAATCTAGGATTTCTAAACACAGAGATGTTTAACCATTATCACCATCAGTAAATCACCTCTTCTGTTTTGACATCAAATCATCAAATTAAGAAGGATGTAGAACAGAATTCTAACACACACAAAAAAGACCAGATTTACTGGCCTAAAGGAGACTGGAGAAACCTGGAGAGTATGGCCCCCAGACACCCTTTTAGCTCAGTGGTGAAGTCACTTCCGAGGTTCACCGTTCAGCTGGGGATTGGACAGCCCCATAAAACAAAATGGGACTAATGAGGCACAGCAGTCCAGGGACAAGGGCTAGAAGGCAGAAGGGGACAGGAAAGCTGGTGATAGGGAACCCAAGGTTGAGTAAGGACAGTGTTGATGTGTGGTGAGGTTGTTAACCATTGTCATACGGCAACGTGTGTACTAACTGTATAATGAGAGAAACTATTTTGTTCCGTAAACCTTCATCTAAAGTGAGAATAGCAGCACAACTGGAAGAGCGTAGTCGATGTCACTGAACTGTGCATGTAGAAATTTTTGAAATGGTGTATCTTCAGCTGTGTGTATTTTCACCAAAAAAAAAGGTCGAGAAGGGAGAGGGTTGACATGTCGTGGGGTTGTTAACCAATGTCATAAAACAATATGTGTACTACTGTTTAATGAAGAAACTATTTGTTCTGTAAACCTTCACCTGAAGTACAATTAAAAAAAAGAAAAAAAAATCATCAAATTATACTGCCCTTTCTCTAACTTGCCACAAGCAAAGATAAATGAAGAGAACTGCGTCTATCACTGAAGACTTCATGTTTGTTGACATTCATGTTTATGGCCCATCTAGAACTTGAACCTCATGGTTCTTGATCTCCT